CACGAGATGAGGCAGGATAAAGAGGGATAATCCCCCTCGATCCCAAATCATTGAGGCCAATTTCTAGCCATAGAATAATGGCGGCGGCGGCGGTCGGACATACCTTTATTGTTACTACATCGCCAAAGTTAACGTAACAAAGTATACTACGTAATACGTGGTGTAATGCAATTACGCACTCATAGAATTACACTCGCCGCTACGCGGCGTCTTGCGTAACTTTTCCATTCGTGCGTAAAATGCTTTTTACAACACTTATTACGTAATACTATTACGAAATAGCATTTTTTTACAAAAGTTTAACACCCTGTATCTTGAAAACGAAGCATCTGCGGACCAATATTTATATGAACTTTTTGTCTTAAAATCACTCAAATAATAGTCTGTTGAATTTATTGTACATACTTAATTAACACCCTGTATACATATTTTTTCCAAACTACTGTAAAAAATATAAACTTTTCAAATAGAAATTTATTAATTTTTACTAAAAAGTTACTATTTCACAAAGCGAACGTGATTTTTTATCTTTGTCATAAAACAAAATTTCAAAAGCTACTTTTCATTGTTTTAAATAATCAATCGAATGGCATAGACCAAATTGTTTTAGGATTAAATCATAAAAATTAATGATTAAAAATTGAAATTGTTATAACTTTTTTATAGAAATTATATCTATTTCTCTGAAAAGAAAGTTTATATTTTTTAGAGTAGTTTCCCTCTGTTAATTTTAATAGTACCTACAAGAAAAAGTCAATAGACCATTTTTATGTAGAATTTTTTGCTCTACAACTTTAATAAGATTTTTTTTCTAACCCTTTCTAACCCTTTTGAGTTATTTTGAAAAACCCCTTTATCTTTTTTCACCCCTGGTCGGGAGTTGAAAAAAAAATTACTGTCACTTACTATTATATATCACAAACTAACTTACCTATTTAAAAAATTCAGGCAAGTTGACCAAATTATGATTTAAAAACCCATTTAATTGGACTGCCAATTGGAAGTTAAAATAAAGCTTGTAAAAAATAGTTACAATGTTTCTACTTTATCCATTTAATTTTTAATAATAAACTGCTTTTAAATTAAATAGGTTGTCTTTTATAAAGTAAGACTTCATTATTTATTTTTTTTGTTATCCTTAATTGTACCTATTTTATTTTAAGGTAGGTATAGTTAGATTAAATATTCTAATTTTAAACAATAAATAAGCATTTTATTACTATACTCTAAAATACTTTATTTAATTCCATTTTCATTTTTCTCTCTCTTTATTTCTTTTAGTCTATTTAAAATTGCATCTGTGTCTAATCCATTTTGCTGATTATACTGCAGAGATAGTGTAAGTTGATGTTCCTCTAAGCCTGCTATTCTACTATACAAAGAAGTATTTAATTCTTGATCTATATCATTTTCCTCTCTCAATAAGGTAAAATATATTAGAAATATTGTCATACTCGTCAAAAGTACATGTGGTTCATACCATAATCGGGGTTCTGTATTACCTGTTATGGAATATTTTGCTTTATATTTGCTTGCTGGGCTTGCTGAATATTTCACTGGTTCTTCGGGATTTATATTTTCAGCATTAGGTTTTGTTGGCCTTTTAATACTAAAATATACATAAATATATATACAAAATAAAATAAAATTATATATATATATATACACATGTTTGTTATTTGCATTACCTAACACTTAGATTTCGTAAATTAGTAACAGGATTATATAATATTCTTTTTATTCGAAATAAATTCATCTCGACAAAAATTATTAAAATAGGTTAAATTAAATTCTAGAATTCTACACCACAGAACATCTAGGAACAGTAGGAACTCTAAACACTGAATACCTATTTTTTTTTATATAGTAACATATGAGGAAGATAAAAAAATAAGGAAAATACAAGGTCACTAAAAGAAGTAGGTTGCCGACAAACTGCTGCTTCACACCACTCCACCTTAAAATTAATGAATGACGTCGTTAATGTTATAAATCCAATAACGTGCACGTCATTCATTGTTATGTTTGCTAATAAATTCAATAAATTTCAATGTTGATTTGTATTGTTGGAGTTTCCCTGTGTTCTATATCATAGGAGCTGTTGTTCCTAGATTTTATACTTAATATAGATAAGAGTGATAGGATTCTCTTCATACATTTTTGTAGACGAGATTTGCGCCATCTAGCGGTATGTGGTAAAACTAATTTGATTAAAATTTGAGGTAGGTCAGTACTTTTAGTTTTAATTTTATTTCTGTCAGCAGCGGCAGGTGAAAATTAAAGTTAGGGAGACTAGACAAGGAGAACGAACTCATACGGGAAAATTGACAAAATTTGTCCAAGAAATGGCAGAAGTTGGGGTGGCGCTAGTGTTCCATGTGACCCAAGCACAGACCACCTAGACTGGCCGTATCTAATTCCAATGCACGGGTACCAGTGAATGCAAAATCCGGGGAAGTGGAGTGTGGAAGGCAATCTTATGACAAATATTCAATTTTAAGTTTGTAATTCAGAAAATAGTATATTTTAGTGTCATATTAAATAAAACTACAAAATAATCTAAATATATTTATTGTCCTCTAAATAGTATGAATTTATTTAATATTTGCCTTTTCGTAGATTTTACCGAATTAAATAATTTGACTTCATCATTTATTCGTACATCGATATACTTTTCACATTCAGCCCTTACAAGTTCTATTAAATTATTACAATTGTTAGGCAAATTATCAAATTGATGTTCATGCAAATTTTCAAATATGTTCACATTCAGAAAGTTTTTGAATGATAAACAATTTTATTTTTCTGTAGCCTAGGTATTCTGTTTTCATTATTAAAAAATTTTATTAATTTTTCAGTTTCTTGGCATATTACTACGACAACTCGAGATGGATACGTCAAACAACCACGATTTTTAATAAAAATTAATTGACTACGAATACTGTGTATTTGACATTAAACTATTTACACAATTTTCACATTTTATTGGCTTTATTAAGGAACTTATTACAAAACCGCCAATATATATTATAATGTACTTGCTAGTGTCCAGTCCTGTTTTTTAATAGTCTTCATCCATCTTCGTTTTATGTCAAGATTCCTTGGAAATCTGTAAAAATTTAAATATTAGGTTTGAAAAATCGAAGCGTACTTAATAATTCTATTTGTCACAAAACTGATTCTTCGATTCACATTTTGCCAACTCTCCTATTCCAGGACGCTGAACATGAATCTGAAATTAGTTTTGTTTGAGATTTTTCCAATTGAAAAAAATTTTTAATTAATTTTCAGCCATCTCGAAATGACGGGAATTGGTAAAATTTCATAAAAATTTGAGACTCACATAAAGTAAATAATTACTAAAAATATTTTACAGTAATTCATTCATTATTTTATAATAACAATATCACGTTAATCACTACACTATGTGGGCGAACAAAATTATAAAGCTAACCCTGGAAACTTGTGACGTCAACCGAAAAATGGCGTACATATTTACCTTTTATATATTCCTTTTTTTTCTTACCTAAAGAAGGAATCTT